ACAAGCAAATCATTATTTTGAAACCTTTTTTTAGATCATCGAAAACCAAAGTATGGCTTAACTGATTAGAAACAGAAGAGCATGAATTTGCCATGGCTTATAAAAATCGATTGAGAGATGTGAATGTATATTATGAACTTGGTTTCATGTGGCAATAAGACCACATATATATAGGATTTAAGATCATCTTATTCCTAATGGAAAAAGGAATCAATGTATATCAATGTCATTGTACAATAAGGAAATTAGAGAAGTGATAATTACAAAAATAGGAACTATCCAAATCCTAATCTTTATCAAACAATATCCAATTTGTTTTTCAAGAATCTTCTAGACTAAAACGAAATAATGAAACCAAGAAATAAATTTGGAAGAAGAAATAAGAAAAAAATGCCAAGAAGCAATCTTATATTCGCCAGAAATTAAAGCAGCCGAATTGTACAGTCAAATCACAAGACTTATCTTAGTAATAGATTCCGAATTTCTCCATTTTTGGTCTAATACTCCCTCAACTGAAGTTGTACTGAAGCTTCAAACTTGCAACAATGCGAAATAGGGAGTTTAGGGCAAAATAAATCCAATTCGATTTACGAAATCTGGAAATGAAGAATGAATTTTTGTTGTTTGACGGTGGAGAGAGAGAGAGTTTTGTGAGATGCAGTTTTAGGGTTTGTAGAAAAAAGGGGAAGAAGATGTAGCAGATCCCGTTTTGGAGATGCCGATGTCTGATTTTTTTTTTTTTTGTGGTAACCTAATGGCAATGTCCATATAATTATTTTTGAAACGGTTTAAAAAAAAAACAGGGGACTGCAAAGGATCGAACTCAATACCTGTTGAGTTTAGGACAATTGTGATAACCGCTACACCATAGCATCTTTTTGGCTGAATAGGAAATTTATTTCTATAATTACTTAAACATGTGTAAATTTTCCACTAAAAAGAAACTAATACTAATAATATATGTAAATTTAGATAATCTATGAATATGAAACTTATAATTCAGTTCTCGAAAATTGTAAAATCAGAGAAATTATCTTTACTGAAAATTAATTAATAAATAATATGTAAAATAGAAAATTTACATAAATTAATTTAAAAGCAAAAAAAAAAAATAATGACATGGACCAATCAAATTCAACCTTTTAAATCCTAGGTGGACAGCCTCTAATGCATATAGGCTCAACTTAAAATAGAAAATTTACATAAATTAATTTAAAAGCAAAAAAAAAAAATGACATGGACCAATCAAATTCAACCTTTTAAATCCTAGGTGGACAGCCTCTAATGCATATAGGCTCAACTTTTATTAGTAATAGATAACTATCACATTTTTAATGGTCGTATGATAATAATATCTATATCTATGCGGTTTCACAAGTATTATTTTAATTTTGTTTGTTTACATTTGCTAGTTGAAGGTGTTACACAAGATTGATTGTTAGTAAGAAAGAAGCACGCTCCTAACAAAGAAAAGCACAATTTAATTTAATTCGTGCAACTCTAAGAAAATCACAACTTACTTTACAATCAAGTTTAGCTGTTATACAGTAAAACCTCTATAAAGTAATACTATAAAGTAATAATCTCTATGATAATAATTTTTTCTGGTCCCAATTGGGACCAATGTAAAAATAAAATGCGATAAGATAATAAAATAATATTTTTAAAATTCTCATGTAAAATATAGTCACAATAATAACCTAAAGTAATAATTATAAAACTTAAACATATATATCTAAGGTTACTTAGTAAAATATGACACAAATATAGTTCATCTCAATTTCTTTTTTTTTGCATCAGCAACTTTGTGTTTATTTGAATAAAAAAATATTTTTATAATTTTTTTATTTTTATGGAATGTTTTCATAATCGATAAATGAATAACTCTATAAGATAATTAATTTTCAAAGTCCCAACATTATTACTTTATGAAGATTTTATTGTAAATGTGTACAAATGCCAAAAAGAGAGACAAATTTAGGCCTATTTATTAAAAAAAAAAAGAAAAGAGACAAACTAAAAGCTGTTCAAGAAACAGAACTAGAAGCAAACCTAGTTCTTCTTAGTACCTGTAAAACCACATGCCCTAACTAATTTTATTTTTCTCTAGGTTACTTTTTAAACACGCTAACCCCCTATTAACCCGTAGACTCTTTTTCAATGTTTACCTCTCTGTTTGTGTTCATTTTTTTGGTCGCTTGTCGACTCTAAAAAGAACATGGAAACAAAATTAAGAGAACACAGAAAAGTTATTAATTCAATCGAGTGCTTTAAGTCTAAAGTCTGTGAAGAATTTATTCTCATTCACCAGCAGCTGCATCATCGACTCTAAAAGCATATTTATTCGGGTCGAATCTTCAATTTGATTATGCTAAAGTACCAATGTATATAAAAAGTTGAATTTAAAATATTAATATATCCTCTTTCAGTTTTATGAGATAAAATGTTTTGGCAGGAGGATCATATTCGAGTAGAAGTTTGAATTGATGAAATAACATTTTTTTATTTGATGACCACTGCAAGAATTTCCTTTGGTGCAGTGGGAAAAGTTGAGCCCATGATTGAGGCATGAAAAGGTAAAGCAAGTGTTTAGTGTTGGTGGAGGCTTAGGCAAGTAGTAGCCCATTTTGGCATTTTCATTATAATAACATACTTAAATCTGTTATTCTATCGTCTAATACAACTGCAAAATCTAATAAAAATGAGATTATTTTTGTTGATTCCCTAATGTTTCTTCCACTAATGCAACACTAGGTTAAAAAGGTGAACTTAAATAACGAAGAATATTTGATTTGCTTATTGTTTGTAATATTATTCTCAAAATGTCATTGCTTCCACTTACCACTACTCTAAAGTAAAACACCATTTCCAGATTCGAACCTATCGATACAAAATTGAAATTTACGAATAGCAATTGTCAAATTTATTTTAAGAACAAAAATTAGGTGCTTTTAGCTCTGTCTCTTCACTCTTGATATTGAGAAGTTGTTGGAGAGAACATGATCAGGTCTTGGGTTTGACTGTTCGAGTTTTTCCGCAGCGGAGAGGGAACTAAGTTACGTTGCTCTAATCTCTAACACAAGAAGTGAAGAAACTACGGATCTAAAGTCTAGAGTGATTACAAATAAAAATACAAATACAAGAACCATATTTGTCTATTGTACTCCTTTTTTTTTTGGTGAATTGTCTATTGTACTCTTGAGATACAGTACTGCTCTTCGAAACTATTCTTGCAATATGGCGATAGTCTAAAGGAATTAGTCTTTATGGAAAACAAAAATTATTAAATAATTATGCGGTCAGTTGCAGACTGCACACGCAAGGTAGTCTTACAAAGTTACAATTGTGTTCTTGAAACATGCTATAAGGTAGTAAAATAATAATTATATATGGGTTATACTTTTGGTGCAAATTAATAATTGTCACATGAGATTGAAATTATTTGCATAACAAACACATTGTTTGGCTGGTCCACTCACTCCCGAACATCGTCATTATTGTTTGGCAAAGTAAATTAATAATGCAAATGCATCATTACTTGATCGATTTTATTTGACGTGCCGAAGTTCATTTCTATTCGGGTTTCTGTTACATTAGCTTAAGGTTTTATTTTCCAATTTTCCAACATCCTATCATTTATAATTATATGTCAGATCCTAGAATATAAGATACATCTCGAGAAAATATCATCAAATGCTTAAAAACAAGTAGATTTCAGTAGAGGCATCCAACTACCAACAAAATGCTCTGTCCCACTAAAAATTAATCATCACCTAATATCGATATATGATTTGAGCCACAAACCAATTAGCATATAATACAATAATATTTACTTGTGAAAACATAATACGTTAGGAGTTATGTTTTAGTTTGGTTTCTATAAAAAAAAATCATAATTTTTGAATATTTAGAAGACACCACAAGAATTATTTAATGAGATTTTTAAACATTTTAAGAACTTTTCATATTGTTCAGAATCCTTCTAACGTTTGAAAATCATTCTTAAACTTTGTTTATGGAGTTTCAGAAAATTCTAAACTCTCTTACATTTGTGCAAAACAAACTAAACAAAATGGTTGTGCAAGATTCTTTTGATATTTTATATGCCAAAGATGTGAAATATCACGAGGTAGGATAAACAATCGTGGAACGAGTTGTTGCAAATTTGCAATTGAGATGAGATAAGGCAATGTCAAACAGACGTGGACGTTTTATTTGGCAAGCTTTCCAACTGTAACCGATGAGATGGTCATCTTTCAACAAATGGTACCTTCTCATTGAAAATGTACCCAAGTGTCATTTGTTTTATTAGGCTAGGCATGTATTTGTGCCCTATGAGAAACGTAAAAGAAAGGAATTTAGTGTACACTTTGTACTTTTGTTAACATATACTCTCTCTATTTCAAATTAGTTGTCATTCTGGTAAAATGTATCTGCAAATTTTTCGATATATTAAACTTAAAATACATCCAAATACATCAAAAAATTATATATATATTTTGACAGAATAACAACTAATTTGAAATAGAGAGAATACCCATTTGTTAACATACTCCCGACTGGTAAAATACATGCATTGGGGTTTGGGCAGCGTAAAATATTATCAATCGGACCCGTTACACTTTGGGCTTTGGGCAGCGTGAAATTTTCACGTGAACGGATTCTGACTCTTTCGTCGAATTTATTTATTCATCACCATATGCGATCTTAACTTGATCATATTTGAAAACCCATCGGTGTGTAAACATCTTTCGACGTAGCAAATAACTGAAAGAGGAAAAAGGAAAAAGAAAAAAAAAGATAACATCATTATCCCTTTTCCCTACTACAAATGAAACAATAAATTAAGATCAAATGTCCGCCAAAAACAAAAGAGTGTGTCTTAAAAATGAAATTTAATTCCATATAAAAAAGAGACCCACTTTTTTTGTTCTTTTTCAATTGGCTGTTTCTTCCATTTTCTGTTTTCAATTTGTTTCTCAGTTTTACTCTTAGGATTTCTACAAGAACAGCTCAGACTGAAGCAACGTGTAATAATTAGCGGCTTCATCTTCAAGCTCCCAAAACGCATCACCGAACCCATCTGGCAAACTATTTCCATATACGTAATCTTGGTTAATATCATTCTTAATCATCTCATAATTACTCCCGCCAAATTCGGTGTTAGGGATCCCGAGTTCGTCATCGGAAGCTTCCAAAAGATGTTGCATCACTTTCTCCTTGTTGTCATCGTCGACTTCGTCTTCCTTCGAGGAAGCGCAAGAATTCGACGAATTTTCGGCGCTGGAGGTTCCCGAAACAACGGTGTTTGGGTCATCTGATGAGATTTCTTGTTGGAGAGCGTTTATAAAGGAAGTTAGGTCGTTGTTGGGTTGGTTAAGTTCGTCTGAATCGTTGAGGAGACAGAGAATCTGTTCGTTGTAAGAGGAAGAACATGATGAAGAGAGCTTTTGACGTTTAGTCGTTTCTTCTTTGTCTAGGGTTTCTTCATCTCGGTTGTGTTTCAATGAAGCTGTTTCAGCCATTCTATGAGAGAGAGAGTAGCTTTTAAAATCGTTATGAGAGAGATAATCGTGAGGGTGATAAGAGAGATGTAGAGTCTGAAATGTATATATAGAGAATTTATTTGGTCAAAATAGCTATTTTTTAGTGTTTAAATAATGATGTGATTTTGTATCAAATAGTATTATTTTAAAATGTAAAACTGATATTGCTTCGTGCATGTCAGAGGGGAGAAACATGTGATGCTTTTTCAAGTTTTCGCATTACCCGGAAAGAACGTTTCAAAGTATGCTCAATAATTTAAAAAACTTCTCATTTGCAGAGTAAATTATTAAGCCTAACGCATGCATGTATGCTTCGTTAGTTGTTTTTTTTTTTGTTAAAGGGCTTTGCTTCGTTAGTTGTTACATAACGCATGAAAATATTTTAAAAAACAATTTTTTTTTCTAATTTAAATATATACAGTAAAGTCACATAAATTTCGGGATATGGATTGAGTGTTGGAAAAATATAGGATTCTAAAGAAGATATTGAGCATGGACTTTAAATGGTGTAGCAATTTTAACAGTTTTTTTTTTGCGAAATTATCGTTTAGGTTTCTATTGAATATGGACTTTAAATGGTGTAGCAATTTTAACAAATATTTTTGGGAAATTATCATTTAGGTTCTTTTGGACTCGAATATTAATGAGGTTGATGCACCTATTTTCGTATTCATCTTTTTTTTTTTTTTTTTTTTTTAAGATACTGGTATTGCAAGGGAGAGAGACAAAAGAAAAAGGAACTAGTTGTTGTCACGGAGATTTGGCAATATCTTTGTGTTGTATCCGCCGTAGGATCAGCCTTCCAAAATGAGCTTGTAGATTACGAGGGGACATCGGACGGCTTTCGTTTCACGTCTTTGGATTGCACATGGAAAGAGACAGCTTCTCATTGCTTATATTAAACTAATCACGACTCACAGCCAAAATATTCATTGCTTGTAGTTAATCTCTTAATTTTCTTTTCATTAGTTGGACACATTATCTAACCGAAGTTATGTAGAAAGGAATCGTTAGGTTATTCGAGGGACCAATGTCAATTTACTTCTTACATAAAAGGCAACACTAGTTCCATTAGTTACTGACTAGTTTTAAGCAGATTATGATATCACCTATTGGACAAGAAAAAAAAAGCTGGTACGAACGGTGATTAAACATCTTATTAGATTTTTCTATGATTAGAAAAGCCGTTTTGTTGTTAAAAAGAAAAAGAAAAGAAAGACTGTTTCATATATTGTTTTACAAATTCCTGTATAATTGATAATCAAGAAAACGTTTTGATATGGTAACCACGTAATTGGTAAACGGATGGTTACCAATCAAATATTCGTCTAACAAATGATGCGGTTACAAATATATAGAATACAAGTGGAAAAATAAAAGAAAGAGACATATAACATATATATGGCGGTTACAATGAGATAGAATACAAGTTAAGAAAAAAGACAAATGACAAGATGAGTTTGAGTATGTGCATGGAGATGAAAAATCGACATGTTTAAAAATATAATTATTGCCCTAACATCCAAAAACAAAATTATTTATAAAAACAAAATTGAAATGAGGTGAGCATTGAATACATGGTTCGAGGTAGGGCTGTACAAGTGGGTTTTTTGTTCTCTTTCTTTCAAAGCACTTCGTCAAATCTTTACTTTTCGTTTTTTTTCCTTTTATTTCTCTACTTTACTTTATTGGCCTGCTTGCCAATTTTGTTTTCTAATGATCTTTTACCCAGTTAAATTACGTGATAAGCAGAGATAAGTTTTCTTAAACAATGGTTTTAGTTTCTTAACGTTTCTTTTTCAATAAATTAAATCATTTGGGTTTGTGAAAAAAAAAATCCATTTGGGTGGGTTACGTACAATCTTTTTTCGTCCAAGTCTCCTTCGAGCTACGGCAAAGATAATATTAGTGGAAATTGATTACTAGATACGTGTAGTCCTCTTTAGGTTTCCTTTCTAAGCCTTTTATATGTCAAGTGAAATATTAAAAATATGAAAATAGATTGCAATAAAAAACGAACATGAAAATATTAAAGAAACACAAAAGTTGCATGTACACGTTATAATTGCCCAAAATTTTACTTGTTAAAAATAAATGTCACTATTGAAGTGATGGTGCGTGCCTGCGTGGTGCTGGTCCAACGAATAAATTAGCTGGTTGGGAAGGGAGTGATGGATATTGAAAGCCTTAAAAGAAAAAAAGATCATTACAAAATAAAACTAGCTTATTGTGACTTTAATTATCATCTCATATTTTACCGTGATTTAGTTTTGTTTGGATTGATAGCATGTACGGTATCTGCATTTTGATTTTGTTTTTATAATGTAAATATCACATATATTTCATTATATAATATTACCGAATTGTCATAGAGAGGAATTTGACTTAACCATATGAGAATTGCTCTCTCTCCTAGGCTACCACATCAGCAAAAAAATCATTAATTGTATTTAAGATATTTAATATATGTGTATTAATATTTCTATTTTACACATAAACAAAACTAAGAAAAATACACAAACAATTTAATTGATTAATATAAAGTATGTGATATCTTGATGTTAAAAGTTAAAAGAAAGTTGTAATATAAAATGGAGATGAAATAAAGAAATATTTAACTTGAAATAGTATATAGTTAGGTTTTAACTCAAAGGATTTATCCTATTTAAAAATATTATAATGTACAATTATTTAACATAGTAAAAAGCTAATAAAAAATTAGAGTTAGAGTTTGTTTTATTAAAAAATAGAAGTCGAGTTATTATTTAAATTTCATTGCAACGAAAAGCATGAAAATTTTAAGAATGGTGACATGTTTGTTTCAAAAATACAATTTATATTTACAAAACTAACATAATAGAAAATAATCAATTGTCATATGCTACCACAACAAAGCATATATGTAAGAAGTTATACATGTTTTTGTTTTTCATCATATTTTGAGTGCAATTGCGATTCTACACCATGTTTACAAATTTTAACGTTGAGTCAAATGCATATTAAATTTTAGAAATAGAAAACTCGAGATGAAGTAAGGTGTTAATATCTTAATAAAAAAAATTGATCATATTGTTAGTGTTAATTGTTGGGTTAACTCAAAATATAACCAAAACATGGAAGTTAACATATAACCATCATAATTCAAAATTTCAAATCAATGAATATAAATAAAATCAAACAGAAAAATTATGGCAAACAACCCCGCGCTTGCGCGGGGCTTTAACCTCTAGTATATATAAAATCAAAGCTCGTTTCGATAGATGATTCATGGTGAATTGCTCTTGGATGGAGATAGTAGGCATATACAAATATTTAATACTCCATCCGTTTCATATTAGTTGTCGTTTTAGTAATATGTATTTGTAATTATTTGGATATATTAAACTCAAAACACATCCACATATATCCAGATACATTTGTTCAAAAAGACAACTAATTTGAAACAGAGAAATATAAACAAAGAGAATCTACTTGGTCGTTAATTTTAGGGAGAATTGGCAATTTACCCCAGATTGAAAGATTTCTTGTCCCTTTACACCTATTTTGACTTTGGTCATTTTTGGTCAAGATTGCCCTTCAATTTATTTATAAACTCATACAAAATGTTTTTTCAAGTGAAAACAAATTCCATAATTCCTAAAAATGATTTCAGCACTGTGTAAAATATTTGAACATTTTTGAAAATGCTTATGATATTTAAAAAATATTATAAGTTTCGTTCTACAAATCTAAAATAACAAAGTAGAACTACGTTTTCTACAAGATATTCGTTGGTCTAACCTCCGTAGAACATAATATCTACAACTTATACATACCTCTTCCGGATGTAGAAGTTGATATCTACCAAGCCTTATAGGCTCTACCATTTTGTAGAATTCGCACCAAATATATTCTACACAATCAAGTATCTTCTACTACTCGTAGATTTTATGTTCTACGCGAAACACTGCTATCTACAAGAAATAGTTTTCGTATTCTACGTGTTTTTGTCTAATCTACATCCCGCAGAAGTAGTGTTCTACTAAAACCATGTTTTCTACGATCCGTAGTACTCGTGTTTCTAGTACACAATCTAGCAAAATTAGTGTCGTCTACGGTTTTGTAGAATTCATCTTCTGCGAAGATCGAGAAAATATTGCAACTGAATATTTTTCAAATTTTCTTTCCTTTCTTTCTTGTTCGTTTTTTATTTATTTATTAAAATTTTAATTTTAAAAACAAAAAATGTTAACAAAACATTATCCAATTAAAAGGAAGGGCAAAAATGAGAAAAATGCAAAAAAAAAAGGTAATGGGACAAGACACAAATGTGAAGGTGTAAAGGGACAAAAACACTTTCAATATGGGGTAAATTGCCAATTCTCCCATTTTATTTTTTGACAATTCCAATTTCCAGACGTTTTCTTACACATTATTCAGCGGTGATACGTCTTAAACTTTCAAGAACGTACCGTACATGAATGTGGATACGTACATCTCACTTATTCAGTTTCAGGCTGAAACTTTCAGCAGCCAATATTTATTTATTTTTGCTATTATTAAATAATTTGAGGTAGATCTGAAATATCTGAACAATAAAATAGGTAATTGTAGACAAGCCAAAAAAAGAGATAAGTAACAAATATTCTTGTCGCAACTTTTAGTATTTTTTTTCGTAAATTGACCAGTGATGATATACTTCAATCACTTTGGAAAAAATGAATCAGATACCAAAACAAAAATAAGAAAACAACTAATTGATTCGTTTGCCAATTTGATGAACACAATTTATAAAGTCTTTTTGGAATCTGAGTTAATAAGGAAAATAGTCTTTACGCACCAATTTGTTTTTGGTTACGCATCTTTCTTTTTTATCCCATTTCCCACGCTACGTGCAGTTGTTTTTCATTCCATTAATTAGCTAAGATGCAATTTCTAGTCTATTTGGCGAGCAAGCAACTCACGAATGCATGGTAAAGGTATCTCAGCAAAGTTGTATC